TGACGTAAATTAATGTCTATCAGTTGGCTAGCAGCCTGCTGTCACCACAACGACTTCTCTTAGTTGATTCATTCCCTGACATAGTTCCTTATTGTTTTTCATTTCTAGTAGATCATCTGATCTTTATTATGATCCCAATGGTAACTATTGATGAAAGTCTGCAACTTATTGAAAATGCTTATTGTAAAGCGTTAGATTGTGTAGAAGCACTGATTTGACGCATATCTTGTTCCTCAAAGTGAGTGCAGTAGATTTCCACACTGACTTTGCATAAATGAAAGTTTTTCTTGCTTCTCCAATCCGGTGTCCTGGATTTGACACTATCATCCGTTTTCTGTTCGTCTGTAACTGAAACGATACTGCTTATAGAGATAAGTGTGAGAGGTGACTTTGTGTAGAGCTTTTGGCCTATGATGGAGACTAGTACGCTTATCATTGTCTGTTAGGGTAAATTCATCACATGAAATCACATGGTATAGGCATTGTAATTTATATAAAAAGATAATAGCAACAGTATATACAACAAATAGAATAATATCACTCTATGTCATGAATTGGCCGAAGTTACAATTCGTGGTCCATTGGAACAGGTCCCAGTGGCTCAATGGTCTACGAGCTCGCCTTGTAAGCAGAGGGGCATAGGTTCTAACCATAACGGTGGGTGCGTACTGCTAAAGAGTCCCAAACTAGGACGAAGCAGCTGGTCATCCAGTACTTCTTGGCTGTCTTCCAATGGTTCTCTAACCGATGCTAGCTCATGATGAAATCTTCCAACCAATCAAAGAGAAAAATTAACTACAAAACCGATACTTGAAAATGAATTATTATAACACTACTAGTCGTGATGACTACTTGAAAAATTATTGATTATGTATACTATGAATCTACAAGATTTCCACTATGTAATAGCGTTACTGGTGGTGTGGCATCCTTTGTATACTCACATGTGAATGTTATTGGTCGACAAACTCACATTACTAATACAACTTCATTCGGTCATTAAATTTGTTTGAATAAAAGCAGTGCAATAATATACTACTGAAAAAACAATGAGTAGTTAAAAACTAATCTCATAATTATTTAATTCAGTTTGGACTTTCCCGTTGAATAATTGGACCAAAGTACTCGGCCTCTGTTGACATGTTGGCTCCTTGTGCGGATGCTCCAATGATATCTGAGGAGTGAATCTGAAGTAATTTGGTAGAGGGTGAATAGCAGTGGAATCCAGTGACCGAGCTTATCGGTCCTATCAATCAAAGGGAAAATTCAAACTAAAATTAAATAATAACTCATACCCGTTGCACAAGAGATGGTGACTCTCGTGGCCCAGGTGGTTTAGTGGATAAGGTTTTAGCGTTTGAAACGCGATGGGTTGTGACTGGGCTTGAGCCTCAATGGAAACACCACTATTCATCCACTCATTCACTCACTGGGGAATGCTGGTGCCCCCACTAGCTGACGAGTCCTCGTAAATAGGACGAAATGTCCATTGTTCTGGATTCAGCTGCTAGTCACCACCCAGAAAATTACTCACACCAATGTTTAGGATTCTCACGCTAGATCAGTATGATTTGTACACTACTAAACTTTATAATTTTTGTGTTTTATTTTGGAAATAAAGCGCATTATTATTCACTCCCTTAGTGGAACATAGAAGAGCTTCATCTGCATATCTCCATTGTTCTGCTTTTTTCCTCTGTCATTTGCATTTAACTTCAAGACTGCCCATATGTATGTATTTCCTCTTCATATAATCTACTTTATATTACCATCGGATCCATACAAATCTGGTCACTTTCCATGCGATTTGTACACGAGTTCCTTAAGTGTGATATCACTCAACAGTCTCTTCAGTACATGTTCAGTCTATTTCTGTTTTTCCCTGTATGTGATTGTTTGTACAGTGAGAGCAGTTCTCAGTTGATTACCTGCCAGAGGTCTATGCTGTTTGATCTGGAACCAGTATCATCTGCCTACTTCTTTGTTTGTTGGAGACTGAATTCTATCAGTCAAGTTTGCAATGTGGTCACTATTCTAGGTGGCTTGACGTCCCGGTGCACTCTAAAGCGTTGTTATTAGATGTTTACAGGCAGTCGGAAGGGAGCTCTATTTGAATCTAGTTTTTGTGCTTGCTGGCATTCACAAGTCTGTAATCTGCAAGGAACTCTGAGGTTCGAACCCGTGTTACTTAGTGACTGACGCAGCCAGAGGTGTTACCAGGGGCTGTTCGTGCTCGCGATTGACTCCCTTTAAGACTGTATTGGATACTTTGATTGGACACTAGGCAGTAACCAGTTGGAGACTGAATTCTATCAATGCGTCCTTCAGGAGGTCAGTCGCAAGCCCGAATAGCTCAGCTGTAACATCAATGACTGCCATACTGGGCGGTGTAATTTCTGCTCTCATTAAGAGGGAGGGGGCATGAATTCGTCAAGATTGGTGACAGGTACCAACAGGCATGAAATCTGCCGACTGCCTACACCAGGCTAACATCAGTTCAAAGCACACTATTATGGCAAGCCACCTTGTGGCATGGTAACCATACTGAAAACTTGACTGACAGAATTCAGATTGGAGGATTTTATAATGAGCTGACATCAGTTAGAGAACCATTTGGAAACAACTACGTGGTGCTGGGCGGCCTTTTCTTAGTATTCCGGGACTTCTCAGCAGTTTGCATCCACCAACAGCGTTTGAACCGACGACCTTCTGGTTACACGGGCAGCTCCTAGACCATTCAGCCACTGGGACCGGATCCAATGACCATCCCATGAATTCTTTGTTTTCCTTCACGTTCCCCAGTGGGCTTCAGGCTCGCAAGTAACTGGCTCACTCCACAAGAGCAGTTGAATTAGTAGATACACATAGAAGAGGCGAAATTAGGCAGTTTGTCTTTTACTCCTGAACCCAAGAAAGGAGTGGTTCTTTGGGGACAATACCAGCGAGACACTAACACAGCCCCTTAGCAATGTGGTAAAAAAAGAGCGTTCCCTGCTGCCGAATTACGCTTTACATTTAAAACAACTCCTCTTTTGCGTTCGAGAGTAAAAGAAAAACTGCCTAATTTCACCTCTTCTATGTGTATCTACCAATTTAACTGCTCTTGTGGAGTGAGCCAGTTACTTGCATGGGCCGTACAATTAGCCGTGTTTCTCGTCGAATCTCTGAACATCACCCTGCGTGGTTGGTTAAGCAAAGGACAAACGAAATCTATTCTCAGCGCTATTCTATCTCATCTTGTGGATACAGAACACAAGATTGACGTTAACAAGGCGGCTTTCAGGGTCATTTACCGCATACCTACGAATCTCAATTCCGCCTTAAGAGTTCGACTACTAAATATTGCTGTGGCTGTGTGGATCCATATTAACAAGCCTTATTTATGCATCCAGAAGAAGTTAGTTCAGACATTATCATTACCTTGGTGATCCAAGTTTGAATGACCATGAATTTTTGTGGAATTTTCCAAATTTTAGTTGATATTCTATTCGTTATTATATCTTTATTATTATTTGAGCATCTTTAATGAACTGTGGTAATTCCATTGTGATCTTACTTAACAAATCGATATTATTTAAAAAAACACTAATACTGTTATTGACTACTAATCTAGAATATTCTATGTATATAAACATGTATATATATATTGAATTGAATTTTTGATTTTCCCGTCGATTGGTTGGATCGAAGTGCTCGGTCTCAGGTTGACATGTCGGCTTCTTGTGCAGATGCTTTGACGATGTCTGGGGATTTGATTTGTATAAAATTGGTGGATGGTGGCTAGCAGTGGAATCCAGGATGCGCATTTCGTCCTATTTGTGACTCGTCAAGTGGATGTACCTGCATTTCTCAGTGAGTCAGTGATGATGTTCCCACCGAGGCTCGAACCCAGTGCCGAGGACGAAATGCGCATCCTGGATTCCACTGATAGCCACCATCCACAAATTGTGTACAAATCAAATCCCCAGACATCGTCGAAGCATCTGCACAAGAAGCCAACATGTCAACCTGAGACCGAGCACTTCGGTCCAACCAATCGACGGGAAAATCAAACATTCAATTCAATAATTAATATGACCCGTCTGTCTGTCTGTCTGTCTGTCTAGATTCAACCCATCGCACAAGAGGTGGTTCTCGTGGCCCAAGTGGTCTAGTGGATAACGCTTTGGCGTTTGAAACTATGGGCACTGGGTTCGAGCCTCGGTGGGAACATCATCACTGACTCACTGAGAAATGCAGGTACATCCACTTGACGAGTCCCAAATAGGACGAAATGCGCATCCTGGATTCCACTGCTAGCCACCATCCACCAATCCATATATATAAATATAGAGTCATAAGAGGAATTTACCAAAAAGAATATTCTTTGCTCAATTATTTTGTGTTTTATAAATATAATGGAGAAGATCTGTAGCTTAGATCGATAATTTTAACACAGTTATATTCTCTAAGCTGGGTCGTTTACTTGCAAAGCTGTCGCTGCCTTACTAGGAATCGAATCTGAACGATGTGAATGGCTAGACAGAATTCCGCTTATTATTATTATTCCCTTGCATTCCGAGTGTATCTCACAGGGATTCAGCAACACATCTCCCCTTTGTTTTGTTTCCCATCTTCCTCTCTTCAGCTGGTTCCACGATTGACCAAACTCTCTCATCTCTTCGTCACACTATTCTTCTCCATGTCACCCTCGCTTTGACGATCCACTCGTCGCTTCCCATCAGGATTCCATTCAACCGACGGCCTGGCGTGTGATGTCATTCGGCCGCCTCCTCAATGTATGCCCGATCAATCCATCTCCATTTTTTCCTACATATTTGTTGAGCGATCGAATCTTGGTTGCTTTGTCCCACTGCACAGTTTCCTGCTGTTTATTCTTTCTGGTCATTCGATCTTCAGCACATAGCCAGCGAAGTCAGCTGTTGATCAATGTCTGCAGCGACCTGTTGGAAATCCTTTGCGTGATAAGCAGTGCAAGCTTCTGACCAATATTGAACGACCGGCTTCGCTTTGGTGTAGAAAATGAAAAAAATTTGCTTATTGAACCCTAAATTCAATCATTGAAACATTGAAACCCTCTGAAATATTTGAAACTTCAAAATGGCTTTAAATTGTACAACATAAAGACGATAAAAACTATTTAAAATATGCACAAAACAGTCTTGTTTAAAATAAAATGTACATATATTTGTCTACAAAAATGAATAAATAAATAAGCAAGTAAGCAAGCTATTCACAGATTAAACCTAATTTCAAATGTTATCATTATTCAATAGGTTTTAATAAAGAATAATTTGGAGGGAAACCAATTTGTGCATAGCCTAACCGATGTAGCATTTTACTCTTTAAATGAATTGTTTCAATCAATTGTTTTGGTAAAATTGTATCATTATTTTCTATCCATGATAGCAAGGAGTTTCGATGAATTTTATTCACAACTTGTTTTGAACTGGCTTCATAACTGTTAGAGTATTTTGAGCGATCGGTGTTGTTTGATTGTTTTGCCAGGGGAAAAGCATAAAAGAGAAGAAAAACGATAATTTTGTCAAAAATCTGATGCATCAGTTACGAGATCATCGGTAGAAAAATAAGGGAGTACTGTTTCATCTCCACTTTGGGTACTTTTTATCAGTGAGTACCTATAAGTCCATCGCCAGAACCTTCACATTTCAAAGTGGGTTGGAACTCATATTGTAATAATTTATTCCCCTTTGTGTTTCGAGGGGAACATAGGAGACTTCAAGCTTCAGCTCTGAAGCTTCGGTAGGTGTGATGTTTTACGTGATGGAATCGATAGCCTTATACGCCCAACCTCCTTATTCTTCAGGCTTACTTATTACAAGCTAATTGGGGTATAGGGGCGCGTCAGTGACTGGCAACTGAACTACGGACCACGTGTGATAGCGTGGTTGGAGAGCATTTTACAGCTGAACCGTCAGTGAACAAAACACTTCTCCGAGAGGAGTGTGAACCGTTGAACTTGCATTATGAGTACAATGTTCTAACCAACTAAGCTACTGAAATCCCACTGGTTGACTGGCCTACAAGCTTGCCTTGTAACTGGAGGATCCTGGGTTCAAACCCCACTAGGGGAGTACTGTTAATATCCAGTTTGGAATTCAATACCCCATGAATTCTAAGTTCTATCAATTTGCGATGCAGTGCTACTGCTAACCAGAGCCGTCGAAGAGCATCCACCTCATTTCATTATTGAATGGATATTCTGGAGTTCTGTTGGGAAGTAAAAACCAGTCAGGTTTCTCACTTCAGAGTAAAATAGATGCGCGTTGATGCCAATAATTGGAGGAAGCATTATGTAGTGAAATTCATAGAAGTTCGAATCCAAGGGGTCATTGAATTTCAACCCAGAGGTGTGATGATCAACCCCTGGGGTTGTGCAGATACACTTCTTAGAGGTTTCAAACTGGGGGGAAACACCTGTCCCCTACTCCCTGCGTTTAAATGATTCCTTAAATGATTTTGACTCACGACGAAATAGAAACTGTAATAAAAAGTAAAAAATTTATGTTTTTAATATGTTTTTATTCTTTTACGTTCCCAGTGGAACATAGGGCTTCAAGCTTCTAGCTTGAAGTTTTGGTAGCAGAGGTGTTCATTTTTACGGGATAGAGTTGCTAACCTCATGTCCAGTCTTCTCTCTTTACTAGTCCTATTACTGGCTTGTGGAGGTAAAGGAATGCGTCGGTTGCCAGGGATCGAACCCTGAACCAAATGAGGCGTGGTTGGCGAGTATTCTACCGCTGCGCCACCACCGTATGAAATGTAAACCTGGGTCATGACAGGGTTTTAACCGACAGTTCCTGACTTACTCAGTAGTCAGATGCTGTACTATTGCAGCCATGTGCCCTATCTACTTGGAACTTAGGTCATCGTTTCACTGAAATCACTACGAGTGATACAAAACTGAGATGTGAATGAATCCGTGATACATTATCGACAGTCCATCTTAATCATACTGTTACTGTCCTTGCAGGCATGAGCAGCAAATTGTCATGTCACTCTATTTTTATGTAGTCATTTTTCAGTCGACTGATATCAACACAGGAGATATGCGACCTATCCCAGTGACGTCAATATCTCAACAATTATGGGACTGAATCAGTCCACGCAAGTCTCGGTCATGTCTATAACTAAAATCAACAGTTTGACACTTAGAAGGATTTAGCTTGATACCGTTTGAATGAGATCATGCTAGAACAATCCAGTGCATAAACTACTGAGACGAAGATTGTCAGATTATAAGTATATTCAATGAAATTAGCTACAGAAGAATACTTTCTATAGTTTGATATGTAAGGGTTAATTTTGTTTTTTACGAGTTGATCACAGATTGATATCAGTTAGAGAACTATTGAAAACCACCACTGGAGTACTGGACAGCCAGCTGTTTCATCCTAGTTTGGGAATCATCAGCAGCACACACCCACTGCCAGCTTTCGAACCCAGGACCTTTCGGTTACAAGGCAAGCTAGCTCGTATACCATTCAGCCACTGGGACCTGATTTAATGGCCAGCGCATGGATTCTAACTTCTACCAATTCGTGATTTAGAGGGACCTAAATCACCGTCGTAGGTGGGACATCCATCCTCACACGTGACATCTGGATGATGAGCCATTGAATCGGGTCGGGTCCCAGTGGCTGAATGGTATACGAGCTTGGCTTGCCTTGTAACTGGAAGGTTTTGCGTTCGAACGCTGGTGGTGAATGTGTACTTCCGATGATTCTCAAAGTAGGATGAAACATCTGTCCAGTACTTCAGTGCTGGTTTTAAATGGTTCTCTAGCTGAGATCAATCCGTAATCAACTCGTAAAAAATAGAAGAATACGATAGGTCATGCGAAAAATGATGAAAAACAGAAATATAGCATCACGCTTAAAAGCCCATGAATTCTAACTTCTAACTTGGTACTCTATGGTTTTTTGGATGGCAGTCTAACTGATGTCAGTCTCCGATGAAATTTCCTCAGAAATCATTCAAAATTTACACAAAACTAATATTCGATCAGCTACCCATTACTAAGCTTCTCTAGTTCTATTGAGAAGTTATAAACAGTAGGATTTATTAGGTTAGCGTATTTTTGAAGACTTCATCCACTTTGAATATAATCTTGTTTATCGATGATGAGGTCGCGATGAGAGCTGTCTGCAAACCAAAATTCTTGACAGTAATTCACGTCAATGTTTACACGTCCCAAATCGGAGTCACGAGAAAAAAACAATAACAAAGCTTAACCTTGAGGAACTCAACAACCAATCTCAACAGACTCAGCGTATGCAAATATGATTCGCATATATATGGCTTAACTTTCTGAGAAACGGTCACAAGAGGTACAGAATAAACTCCAGCAAAAAAAACAACCAATCAGAATAGGTTGCTTCTCCGCTGACAATAATTTACACGAAATCTACAAATATCCCTTGATTTCCTATATAAACGATCTGTTGACTGACCCTTGTCTTCTGTCGTTACAAGGTTATCTGTAATAGTCCTAGGTTGGCAGAATGGCTTATCGATGTAATGATGGGTGATGATTGAAGGTGTGAAATGAACATCCGGATCGTGATACAGTTTGAACCTTCTCAGTCAGAATTACTAAGTAGTCCACTGCTTTACTAATTTAGCCAGGAGGTTCAGCTTCTGACTAAACAGGTGAGTGTTTCATTAACTGGGAGGAGTAAGGGGACTGGCATACGCTTGATCAATGAAAAGACTCTAGAGGATCTAGACTTCACAAATAATTTATGTCTGATGTCTCTCAATTTCGAAAACTTAAAGTCAAAATGCAGGAAGTTGATAGAAGAGGCAGGCGGTGGAGCCAGGGCTTCAAGTGAACACTGACAATAGGGATCGACCAAGGAATAATAACTAATAACCATCAACGGGTAAATCAAGATAAAGTCGCCTCTTTCAAATAAATGACCTGATCCGCATGGTTTTCACCACTGGGAGGCGTCAGTGATGAGTAATATATTCTGAAATCAATGTGAAAATCTAAGGTACTGAGCATAATATCTGAATTTTCAACACTCATATGAGCTCAGTCAGTGATTTCACTTGGTTTATAGAGTTGACGCGTTGAGAAGAGAATTTTCAACAGGCTACTACAGGATTTCATCAACAGCTGCCTTCTCCGGGTCGACAGTGAAGGTCAGATGACCAGCTAGGAAGGATAAAAAAATAACCGAATTTGCGGCGCGACAAACTAACCAAGAAAGAAGTGAACTTGGATTGGATATAACCTCTAAGCCACTCTTGAAGTGACATAACACTCTAGGCAGGTCGTAGTGTGGAACTTGAATGAAAAACAACGAGTTGAGCCTCCAAGAGTAGCACGGAAGATGTCATGCAAGGAGAGGATGAGTAACTATGGGCAGGTATCAGCCCAGATGAAGAGGACAACAGAAAATAGAACAAAGTAGAGATGTAATTGAATTTTTAGAATTTCCTGTCGATTGATTGGACCGAAGTGCTCGGTCTCAGGTTGACATGTTGGCTTCTTGTGCAGATGCTTCGACTATGTCTGGGCATTTAATTAGAATTTAATTTTGTGGATGGTGACTGGCAGTGGAATCCAGGATAACGCGCACTTCGTCCTATTTGTGACTCGTCAGCTGGATGAACCTGCATTTCTAGGTGAAAGATGATGATGTTCCCATCGAGGCTCGAATCCAGTGCCTAAGTGGTCTAGTGAATAACTCTTTGATGTTTGAAACTATGGACACTAGATTCGAGCCTCGATGGTGGGAAAATCATCACTCACTGTGGAATGCAGGTACATCCAGATGACGAGTCCAGAATAGGACGAAATGCGCATCCTGGAATCCACTGCCAGTCACCATCCACAAATCAGAGTAGAGGGATGTTGCTGAAGCCCCATGTTCCAGTCAGGACTCAAGGGAACAATAATAATAATACTTGTTATGCAACACAGTAGACTGGTTTGAAAGGTTTTTCATCAAAGTAGCTACTATTCAACAAGTACTTCTTGATTTCCAATCATTCCCTAACTGAACTTGGTCCCCGATGAAATCTATCTGAGAATGTAGGAAAGTAGCTTATTCTCGAATACCTCACTTTAACAAAATGGATGGTTAACTTACGGACTAAGTTGAGATATTTTGTCGATAACAGTTTCATGCTTTAAAACTATTGGATCCCAAGGTAGATCGAGAAAATCTAAGTCAATAAAAACGAAAGAAAGAGAAATAGAAAAGAATTGAAATAAAAAGAAAATTTGTATTATTTTTAAGTATTAGTTTTTGTGGGGAATTTTTTATTTTTGTTTGGTTGATTGGAGGATTTCTTCATGAGCTGACATGAGTTAGAGAACCATTGGAAAACCGACAGGGAGTAATGGATAGCTGTTTCGTCTTAGTTCAATATGATGCTCACTAGCGACTGTCCCTGTTCAGGCAGTTAGTTGACCTGGGGTTCTAGTGGGAAGTTGTGACCACTAGGGTACAGCAGGTTAAAGGTGAGGCAGTAACTCATGCAAGAAGACATTGTGAAGTGGTCGTGCTATGTCATTTCGAAACTAGGACGAAACAGCTGTCCAGTACTCCCAGTTGGTTTTCCAATGGTTCTCTAACTGATGTGTCAGCTCATGATGAAATCCTCCATGCAATCAAACAAAATTTGTATTACACACACACACACACTATGGTACTGATATAGATATGGCGGTACATGTCAGCATCGATTTATAAGCGAGAAAGGAATGATATGACCAGCACTATCCTAGAGCTTCCGATAGAATTCGGCGTAAATCACTCAGCCAATCGGGACCATGACTTTAGGATTATCTGTCGAATTTATTGCAACACGTCGCGTTTTCTTGGCTATACGCTAGACCTTTGTGTACAGAACAAGTGTGTACATTCCCTACTCCCTGGCCCTTTAATTAATTTATGTACCTTTCACTTGTTATCACGACTGATAGTGCGTTCTTCGCTTTGAATAATATTCAGGAAGCTATGTTCACCAAACAGGGTCGAAGAAGAATTAGATTTCGTCAAGAAATACCTAAGAGAAAATGGATACCCGAAGGGATTTATAGAGAAGTATAGCAGAAAAAAGATAAGAAGGCAAAGCATCCAACTGTAGAAAAGAAAAAAGTGTTTATCTGTCTACCATACAAAGGAGATGCAGTGTCACAAAAGATTGACAAATGACTGAAAGATGCAATAAATAGAAGCTTTCCAGCAGCAAAACTCATAACAGTATACAGCACCACTCCTTCTTTAATCCACTCAAAACTGGATAAATACCCTGTTGATGTCACCTCCAACTGCGTTTATGAATTCACGTACACTTGCGGGAGCAAGTACATTGGAAGGACAGAAAGAAGGGCTTCAATCCGGTTTTCTGAACATATTCCCAAAAACCTGTGCCTGAAAGGAAGCAGATATTCCCAGAGTGTAATTACCAGACACATTATTGATACCGGACATCTCGTAGAGATTTCTAAGTCCTTCAAAATATTAAATAGACAAAAGACAGCAAATTTACTACGATTTGCCGAAGCAATCGCAATCAAAAGACTTAAACCAGACTTATGCATACAGAAAGAGAGTGTGTGATTAACCTATCACTTCCTTGATAACAGAATTTTGATTTTGATTACATTAATTAATTAGTCATGTAATTCAGTGATCTCAACTCATCACTGAACAAATCTTAATCTCATAAACTGGAACCACTTTTGTTTTTTGAGTTGCTATGTGAACAAGCTACAAGCTAACACTGTTCTGTTAATCAATTTTTTCTGTTTTCTCTCTTACCCCTCCCCCTCTTTTCAACTTTAAAAGCGTATAAATTGATGATGAAAACTTAAACAAAAAACATTGTAATGCTTTCATTTAGATGCGTCAATTTTATAGTATCTCTTTTCTACCACCACTCGAACATTAAAGTATGTTATTATTATCATCTATATAACCATTGTAATTTCAGGTAGTCTGCAGCTGATGAGAACCTGTGAAATAGAATGATGATATCATTTTATACTGCAAATTTCGTCTTCCTTTCTTTATCGAAATTTATCAAGGGAACCAAATGTATGAATATTCAGTATTATTTCTCTTGTCCCATTTATTATTATTTCAAATCACTACATATTTTTGTAATATTACAGAACCTATCTTATCAACAGGAAAGGTACCTACCTACTGGAAGAAAGGCTGGTCAACTTGTCAGGCTGCCAACAAAGGGAAAACTATGCCTCATCCTGCAAGAACTGGCGTGAAATCATGCTCTTGTCAAAGCCAAGTGAAATAATAAATCCTGTCGTCTTGGGTAGAACAAAAGATTCACTGGATACAGAACTCCACCAACCATCGGAACAAGCTGGATTCAGGAAGGGTAAATCATGTGCTGATCAGATTGCAACTCTACCCGTCATCATCATCATCAGAGAACGAAGCATAGAATGGTAGTTAAACCTGTATCTAAACTTCATCGACTTCGCAAAGGCCTTCGACAGACAGCGTTGACCGACACGTAATTCAGAAATTACTTCAATACTGTGGCGTACAGTGCCCAAGTCTTTATCAATCTCACTGAACAGTTGGCTATATGACAATGAGCCCATGTGTCAGGTGATCCAGAACGGGAAACTCAGCGAGGCGTCCGAAGTGAATACAGGAGTAAGACGTGGCTGCCTTCCTATTATCACCGATGGTATTTTTTTATTGTGGTGGACTGGATTATACGTCAAACCGCGTCTGTGGGAAGTGATAAGACAGGTATATGCTGTACTGATCGATAAGAAGACTCCATCTAAAAGATCTGGATTTCGTGTGTGGACGATTTTCGTTTAATGTCACACACACACACGCACACAAACTCGAAGACTTGCAGGCGAAAATCAAAAAAGATGGCAGAAGAAGCATCCAATGAAGAAAGAACTCCAGGTGAATATAGAGAAGACGGAGGTGGTGAGGATAACAAGCAAACAGCAACAACAACAACCAGTACCAATCACTATCGAGACGAGAAATTTGAAGAGATTCGACAGCCGACAAAAACAACAATAAATACTAACCATTAAGAAGGAGAGAATTCCCAAAGGAAGTCACGTCTTTCATTTTCCTGACGCATGCAACATCATTTCAACTACAGATGTCAGCGGTAGGATGGGATAAGAAAGGTAAGATATGCCATAAGTTTGGAAATCTGCTGCACTCGGCATAAAGAACAAGATTGGGGTTTTCAGCGTTGATGTCAGTCAGTCGATCAGTCCTTCCACATATGGTTCACCCACCTAACACACGCCATCAGTCAACAAAAGAGTTACCAAAGGGCTACACCAAACTTTCACCAACAAGGAAATTGTGGTGGATTGGAGATATCTTAAAGTAACGTCACAACACAAACGGGAAGCAATGAGTTAGGTATGAGTCTCAGGGTAACATTGAGAAGGGTTCATGAAGAGGTTAAAAAAACAGCTTGTGGGAGGTTATTGAGCCAACCAGTTAAAACGAATGACAGAAAACCGAGTGCAGTGGAAGTGTAGTGTTGAAACTCCCTTGTTTCATCATCATGTAGAGGCCCCAATAATAGCTGTTAAGCAGTCAAGAGACATGAGGTTGTGTTTGCGTTTTCCATGAAAGTTGTAATTATTTCAACATATTCCCCCAGGAAGCATTTCTCTGTCTGTTAGAGAGAGAGGAGAGACATCTGCATGTAATTAATTCCATCCTGCATCGCTTAATTCAGAGAATATCATGCAATCAACATAAAGTAGAAAAGATAAAATCAAGAGGAACCTACTTAATACTCTTCGAATTTCATATTTTGTATTTAAAATTAAATCTTCATAACGAACGGTAATACAACGTGATGAACCAATACGCCGACATTCATCCAATATAATCGTTGTTAAATTCTCCCAATAACCAAATGCTTCTTCTGGCTTGCTGGATACATAAAGTGGATTCACTTGACGTCTAATATTAGAATGAAAACAGAAGTATAAAAACGGCGGGCGGATTTTAAAACAGATAAATTTAATTATAATAAAGGTTTTTTGTATTTCCCAATGAATGAAAAACAAAACGAGATTGCTTTAATTTTTTACTGACGTTTCGTTATTTAATACTGCTGTTGATAGCTTTATCAAAGTGGTATTATTAAACCGGAATTTACAAAATCTCCTCAGCTTATATATAACAAAGAGTTAAGAGGTGAGAGAATAGACTACTTAGGTCAAGTTAAAAGGACATATTGAAAGTCAAAATAACAATGAAGATCAATCACTAAACCAAATGACAAAGGTAATAGTACATCTGCTATCGTTGGTATCAAAACAAAGTTTACTAACTTGATCATCGTTCGTTAGTCTGGGGTCATTTTTCGCTGTTAAGTTGGTCAATTGGTAAAGATAACAAAACAAAACCAAGTGTAGATTGTTGGATTTGATTAGTGTGTAAAATTATAAAAACAGCGTGTGTGTGTGTTTACATAGTGAACTTGCTTATCACATTCGTGTTGACTTTGTCACTTCGTTGGGGAGGCGAGGGAGGTGTTGTAACCAGGTCAGATTCTGTTTTAGTCCATCATTCCTATTCAGCCAATTTCGATAATACTTTGATGAAGCTATTAGCATTAAATAGCGAAATGTCAGCAAAAAATAGAGCATTATCGTTTTGTTTTTCATTCATTGGGAAATACAAAACCTTTATTATAATGAATTTGGATTCCACCTGATATGAACTACTTCTGATCACATCGGACGTTGTTTGTGATTTCTGAAGTGCTTTTTCTGGATGATGATTTCGATATTGTCAAAATCAATTTTGTGGCCTGATTCTATAGTGTGGCGTGTAGACAAGCTATGGCTGATGATTTTTCCTATAACCCCAGACAGACAAACTATGATCAATATTTAATTGGTGGATGGTGACTAGCAGTGGAATCCAGGATAACGTGCATCTCGTCCTATTTGGGACTCGTCAACTGGATGTACCTGCATTTCTCAGTGAGTGATGACGTTCCCACCGAGGCTCGAACCCAGTATCCATAGTTTCGAACGCCAAAGCGTTATCCACCAGACCACTTGGGCCGCGAGAGCCACCTCTAGTGCAACGGTTTCCTCTATTTAATATTTCTACATTCTCACAATCATTAAATCGGTGTCCATTATTGTCCACATGCATTGATACGAAAGACTGGCTGGGTGCAGACTGAATTCTATCAGTCAGGTTTTGCAATGTGGCCACTATGCCACTACACTAGGTAGCTCATCATCACGGTGCACATTGATTTGATGATATTAGATAGTTGGAGGCGATCGGCAGGAAGTAATTTGTTTCATAGATATGGTCGATATTGAACTACAAGGCCTTTGCACATATCTCTTAAATAATCGATACCCTAGAAGATTTATTGACAGACAGAAACGTCAAGAAAGAAACCTTCCCCAGTTAAATCACAGTGTCAAAGAAGAAATTGTTAATGAATTTGGTGTTCAAAGGTGACTCTGTCTGTGAAGTGATTAAAAGTCGTTTACCTAAATGTATTAAATGCTGTTTCTTTGCAGCCGTCTTACATTCGGTATTTGCCAGTCGAAATATGATTCGACAATGCATCAAGGATAAACTACCACTTATGTCCACTTCTATGCACATATACTCACTCACATGCTCGATAAGGAGTAGATTACACTGGACTTTGTAAGCGTTTTCTCCGTAAACGCGTAACTGAACACTGCTATCTGGTTTGGTTAATGAAAGATGGTGGGCATAGAACGGCAAAGTCTTCAATTTGTGAACACCTTTTGGAGTTAAATTATTCAGCCTCAGGTGATTTATTTATTTTTTATTTTTGATCCTTTAAAGTTATTTACAGGACTAAATCCAACCACTCCAGAAGCTTATGTTTTCTTCACTTATGCCTACCCAAAGCTCTAGGTATACATGGACAGAAACCTAAATTATGCATTCAACAACAATGTTTTGATAAACCCCTTTCTTTACCTTGGTCATAGTTATGTTATTTTATTTTATTTACAGTCTACCATTTGAATTCATTCCACATCAGTGTAAATATTTATTCATGAGGAAAAACACAGTTGTTTTCCTTGTTCAGTGAAGAAATACTTTTTCTTTTCAACGCATGTTTCACTTTCAAGAAGCTATACAGAAGTCGTATTGATACTACGGAAAAAGAAGGCATTATTGAGTGACACTAGGCATTGCTCAGTCAATATGGCACATATGACGATTACAATAAAGATAATAATTAAAATGATGTACTAAGGGTGGTGGGGAGTGAGGGTGTTGTAGAGTTGAAGTGGATGACTTACAAAACCTTTAAAGATTATTATTATTGTTCCCTTGGGTTCCTAGTGGAACATACGGCTTCACCTGCACGTCTCCACTTCCCACTTCTGTCGTCCTTCTGCTGTACTTTTCACCTGCATCCATCCATCTTAGTCCATACTCTTTCAACTACTCCTCTTCACACCATCTCCTCTATGTCACTCACCCTTGCACTGACATCCCACTCGCCGCCTGCTTCCCTTTCGGCCTGGTTTCACTCGACCAATGGCCTGACACGCGCGATCTCACCCAGCGCGATGCCTCCTCAGCGAGTATCCATCTCCATCTCAATCCACTTTCTCCAACTGCATATTTGTTGGCTGGCGATTGGTTGGTTCTTGTTTTGTTTGTTTTTCCCATAGTTTCCCATAGTTGATGATTCTTTCCGGCCCGGCTCGGCCATCTGATATTCAGTATAGAGCCAACGAAGACAGTTTTTAGTTGATAAAGGTAACGTCTGCAACAGGCTGTTGGTGAAAATATTCTTTGTGACCCACCCGCCCGCCAAGTTTCTCATCCCTTCCGTATAGAAGAACTGACTGACTGACTGACTGACTTGACGTTGTTTGTATTGAAAATCCGACTGAATTTTGTTGTTGATTCTGGCTGGCTGGCTGAGTGACGAAGATTGGTATCCAGATTGGTTTCAGTTGGTTGATGAAAGTGTGTGTTTCTCGCCCGCCTTCCCGATTCTCGCTCGATTTGACATACTCGTCCGTTCCGACTTCCTGTAGTTGAGACAATGCTCCTCCCTGGATAAGTGAGTGAATGAAGTAGTCTCTTTCAAGTCACTCCCGTTGATGGTAATTGGGGCTGGACGTTGCTGCTGTTGTCTTTGTTTGTTTGTTTGTTGGTTGGTTATTTTCATAACCTCCGTCTTGTTCACCTATGTTCACCTGGAGTCCTGTCTTCGCTGGCTGCTTCTTCGACCAGTTTGTCGGTCGCTTTTCGCTTTTAAGTCTTCGATTTTGTGTGACATTAAACATAAATCATCGACGCGCGAAATCCAGGTCTTCTGGGTTGTTCACGTGGGTCGATCCAGGATATCCGTGTCTTCTCGTTTCCCACTCACTGTCTGACGCATAATCCAGTCCACCACAATTAGGAATATCATCGTGGGTGATAATAGACAAGCAGTCTTGTCTGACTCCTGTGTTTACTCCAAACGAGCACTAGGCATTGCTCAGTCAATATCGCACATATGGTAATAAGAATAAAGATAATAATTAAAATGGTGTACTAAGAGGGGGGGGGCTCGAAGTGGATGAGTTACAATACTTGCAAAGGTTATAAAAAAATCACTTAAAATATCCATTGACTCATGAAGAAAATGAAAGACAAATTGAGTAAAGAAAATTTTCTTTTGTTTATGGACGAAATCATCTTCACTGGCTGTCGTACAGTCGTATTTATATTGACCAAAAGATGTACTGTAGTCTATTATTGGGTAGTAGGTGGAGAGGGTGACATAATTGATATAGTTACTCATAAGTGACTTAAGCAGTAACGAATAAAAGCTGTAAATTACGTGGTACTGAACGGCAGAAAGATAGATATTGGATAAGGTTAAAGTTGTTATTGAGTGAGAATAAAGCTGGTAGTTGAGTGTCAATTTAACATGTGTGAAGATGTAGAAAAGGAACATGTGAGAGAGTGATAATAGTGGATTAATTATTATTATTATTATTAAATAAGTGAACTGGTATAAAGATTTTAAAATTGTAGGTCGTTCCACTTCACTTCATCTTCGCTGTCTTTACTGTTATCATCATCACCGTACTCTTAATTCTTTATCTAGACAACACTTGACCTACAATTTAAAAAAAATCTTTATACCAGTTTACTTATTGACTTAATAATCTTTAAAAGTTTTGTAGTGCATCCACTTCAACACTACAACACCCGCCCCCCCCTCCTTAATACATCATTTCAATTATCTTTATTCTAACCATTAAATGTGCCATATTGACTGAGCAATGCCTAGTGCCACTTATCAATGCCTTCTTTTTCCGTAGAATCAACATGACTTCTGTACAGCTGCTTCTGATTGAAAATGAAGTAACTGTTGAACGGAGAAACTGTATTTCTTCACGGTGATTGTACTGCTCATCAGTCCGCTCCGTCCAACCTTTATGGCCGGCTGGGAGACCTAGCCATTGAGAGTGGAAGACATGAAAAGCCTGGCTAGCTGTCTTTGATCATAGATGCCTGCGTTCTATCTCCCTTGTGAAATGGTATAATAAGGCGAACAATATTGAGGTTAGTCATCGGTCTAGTACTAGGTAAGGAGGGGAAATCAATCGACGAGGTTGTGAAGCTACATCGATTGAGATGGTTAGGACATGTGTTACGTATGCATGCCTAGTCATCGCCTTCCTCGACTAACGGGCAATTTTAGCGGATATAGAGTCAGGGTGGAAAAAAGCTAGCGGAGGTCAAACAAAAACATGGCTTTACCAGTCAATGAAATCTACAACAAGCCACGTAGGAAGGTGTAGACTTCCTGACTGGTTGGGGTCCTCGGGACGGTAAAAATCTATGGTTGGAAACAATTGGTGACATGGCTCAAAATCGTTCTCAATAGCTAGCGGAGATACATCCACTCCTTGTGACTTATGATTTCCAAT